CGGGGGTCCCTTTCAAGGTGGAGAGGCTAGTATTCTCATATATATATATATATGTATATATATATATATATATATATATATAAATATATAAATATATAAATATATATGTGGTGCAAGGCGCGCTACTGGCAGGACTTGCGCCGCATCTCCTCGCGGCCTCCAAGGATGCCCAGCTCGACCTCGCCCTTTTGGGCAAAATCAGAGGCATCGCTGCGGGGCCTATGTGCGACCGATCTGGGGATCATCCTGTCGCGATGGATCCTCGGGCTGTCTGGAGGTGGATGAACATTGCGCCGTCGAGAGTCGGGTTGTTGACCCAACGCCTTCGATGGTATCAAAGTATCTTTCGGTGGCCCGAAGAGGACTCCCAGGTCATCGCCCTCCTCTTCGGTCGGCTCGGCTTCGAGAGTGCCACCACCTTCATCGATGTCCGCATCCCCCTGCGCGCCAACCCGTTCGCCGTTCGTTTCGTCGCCAACATGCGCCTGCTCGAGCTTCTCACTGATTGCGAAGATTGGCGTTCCACTTGGGGCGAGGACATATGCGCGCTCTTGCATGATGACTACATGTCCCATTTTCTTATGGCTGCTGACGTCTCTTCACTGCGTAAGATATGGTAGAGCGGCAAGACTGACCTGGGCACCATCGCCTTCAGAGAATATCACCTCGCCAGCTGTGTTTCCAACGCCGAAGACATTGTGGGCCCCTGCGGCTTCGTCCGCGCGCGCAGGTGCACGGCCGCTGATGAAAACGAGTGTGGCGCGCGATGTTTTGCACGCGCTGTCCTCGTCGCGCGCCAGGCGCGCGCGCGTGGAGGAACTCGCGGCGATATCTTGTGCGATGCCCGTTGCGTCGTCGCGAGCCAGTGTCCAGCATGCCGCGCCTCGTCCGCTTTCCAGAAGATTGCTGAAGGTCACCTTTGCCGCGCCTTTCGCAAGGGAATTTGCGACGCTCTCAGTGCCCGCGCGATGCATCCAGCGGTCGCCCCCAAGTTCGAGTGTCCTACGCGCTGCGCATCATCGTATTCCGATTTGGCCCAGCTGCATGTCAATATCTGTGAACGGCACCCCCCCATTTCTTCCTGGGCGGGGAGGCAGCGATGGCGACGCCCACGCGGCAATTACCCAAGCGCCCACCAGGAGGCGCAGAGGCCGATGGCGCTCCACGAGCGGCCAAGGCCAAGGGGGCCCCCGCCCGCGAAGACAGCGGCCGCAGGGGCAGACACGGCTTCAAGTCGAGGGGCCGCGTCGTCAGAAGGCGCAGCCGGCAGTGGCAGCGGGTGGCCCAACAGCAAGCAGCAGCGCAACAGGCATCTGGGCAAGATCAAGGACATGGGTTTCACTAACAAGCATGCCCAGTTCCTCAACGTGCTGATCAAGCAGGCGCTGACGACCACGCAGATGGTGGGAGACCTGCGGGCCGCGGGCGTGGACGCCTTCTTCCCGGGCGCAGGCCTGCCCGAGATCGAGGCGACGCGGGGGGCAGGGGCGACGCATTCATCAGAAGCCCGAGCCCGCGGCAAAGGCCACCTGCTCGGTTTTCCTCACCTGCGTATATTCAACGGGTCCGTCAGCTAGTTGCTCGAGCGTGGTCTCGCGCTGGGGCAGAGGGCGCGCGCGATGCTCAAAGAGTGGCACGTGGAAGTGCGGCGCGAGCAGCAGCCGCGGGAGCTGCACGACATGCTACGGCCGTTTCGCATCGCGAAGTGCTTCGACCAGAACAAGTGGAATATGCACCTGGTGCTCAGAGGCGCGCCCATGTCGACCGCGCCACCCGAGTCCAACGAGCAGTTGCTGCCTTCGCCCCTGATCATGAGAGGACTACTGCAGAAAGCCATCGAGGAAATCGGAGGCCGAAGGGCACTGGGCGCGGCACCGCCGGGCGCCATGGCGGAGATACTACAGAAGGCGGTAGACGCAACGGACGGTAAATGAGCGGACGCCTGCCTCGAAGGTCAGAAATGGGTGACCTCCCGCTCCGTGGAGCTCCGGCTCCACAAATTTGGGAGGTACGTCGCCGTCTTGCCTGGAACAGGCTTGCGAGTTCTTTGTGGTTTTTCAGTGGCTGGGGACGCTCTACCTCAATTTCGGCATCCCCCTGCCGCTGAGGACCTGCATATCGATCGACGGGCGCGCACAGTGAGCCTTCCTGTATCGGCCGCCCGCTGCCTCTCACCCGTTTCACGCTGCCGCGAGGTCCGCCCCCCTGTTGGCCATATATTATACACCCCGCATGGCGCTCGGGGTGTCTTGGTCTTCTCTGGGCTATGGTGCCCTCGCAGTCCTTGACTCCTGGGTCTGTTCGTGCCTTACACGTCGGTGCGCGTGACCCTGGGGCCCACCAGTCTTCGGGCCCGTCGGGGCCCGCTGGGCCCCTTCCGGACCACATGACCTTTAAAAGTCGTCCAACGGGCGCGCTCCCGAATTCAACGCGCCTGTGTGTTTAATTCGAAATCCCACGAGTTTAACACGCCACTTCCACATGAGCATCTGCCGCTTGTTGTCCACTCCGCTCAGCAGTGCACGGACAAGGGGGGATGCGGGCCCATAGCCGTGTCTTACTTACTCCTTTTCCTCCCCCTCCTCCTCCTCCTCTTCCTCCTCCGCCTCCTCGTCCTCCTCCTCCTCCTCCTCCTCCTCCTCCTCCCCCCTCCTCCCCTCCTCCTCCTCCACCTCCTCCTCCTCCTCCTCCTCCTCCTCCACCTCCTCCTCCCCTCTCCTCCTCCTCCTCCTCCTCCTCCTCCTTTTCCTCGTCCTCGTCCTCCTCCTCCTCCTCCCTCCTCCTCCCTCCTCCTCCTATTTCCCTCTCTCCTCCTCCTCCTCCTCCTCCTCCTCCTCCTTTTCGTCGTCCTCCTCCTCCTCCTCCTCCTCCACCGCACCCCCTTCCCCAGGCGTGCAACTTCTTGAGAACGAGCAGGACGAGGTTTTCGGGATTGTTTGTCGGCTTTCGTCGGCGCTCCAGATTCGGAGTGTTTTCTGGCGGCTGCCCTTCGCCGATGGCGTTCCAGGGGCGCCCGGATCGTCCCGTCGAGCGGCCGTGGGAGAGCCGAGCTGCGACCCGAGAGCCAGACATGCAACGCTGTGAAGAAGAAGCAGTTGTGAGGTTGTTCGTCGTTTTCACCTTCGCCCTTTGTGGCCCTCGATGGGCCCCGCGGCGGTCAATGAACGACTCGGGATGGCAAGGCGGCCCCCGGGAAGGGGTCGGAATTTTCGCAGACCGCGCGTTGAACACACATCTGGGCATGATTGCATGATTCGCACGCTTGGGTCTCTCTTCGTCCTCCATGCTCTTCTCCTTCCTCCCTGCCAATTCTTTGTGCCAGCCCTTCCTCGTCCACTTCCTCCCGCCACTGCTGCGTCGATCGCCGTGCCAGTTTTGCTCGCAGGCTCGCGCTCCGATCCGAAGGCGCGCGTCGGGTCGGCGCTGGAGGCCCTCGATCAGCAGCGGAGATCGGGGGCATGCCGGCTGTGCGCGTGCATCTTCCCCCCCGCCCCGCCCTTCCCCACGCTATCCCTCCTCCATGCCATCCCTCACAATTCCTCCCTTCCGAGTCCTCCCCTTCCACGCTGCCCCTCCTGTTGTCCGTCTGCCCCTCCCTGTCCTCCCCCCCTCTGCTCCCTCACTCCATCGCTCGCCCACTTCTCGTGCGCGTTCTCTCCATCCCTGCCACCACCCTTGGTCATTATCTTCCTTCTCATTCTCCCAGCCTGGGTGAAAGGATGGGATGACGATGACGATGGTGATGGTGATGGTGATGGTGATGGTGATGGTGATGGTGATGGTGGTGATGATGATGATGATGATGATGGTGATGGTGATGATGATGATGATGATGATGATGATGATGATGATGATGATGATGGTGGTGGTGGTGGTGATGGTGATGGTGATGGTGATGGTGATGGTGATGGTGATGGTGATGGTGATGGTGATGGTGATGGTGATGATGCTGCTGGTGCTGATGCTGATGCTGATGCTGCTGATGATGATATGATGATGATGATCTGATGCTGCTGCTGATGCTGCTGATGATGATGGTGTTGATGATGCTGATGATGGTGCTGATGCTGATGATGATGCTGATGCTGATGCTGATGATGATGATGATGATGGTGGTGGTGGTGATGATGATGATGATGATGATGATGATGCCGATGATGATGATGATGATGATGATGATGATGATGATGATGCTGATGATGCTGCTGATGATGATGATGATGATGATGATGATGATGATGATGATGATGTGATGGTGATGGTGATGGTGATGATGAGATGATGATGATGATGATGATGATGATGATGATGATGATGATGATGATGGTGATGGTGATGGTGATGGTGATGGTGATGATGATGATGATGATGATGATGATGATGATGATGATGATGCTGATGATGATGATGATGATGATGATGATGATGATGCTGCTGATGCTGATGCTGATGCTGCTGCTGCTGCTGCTTGCTGCTGCTGCTGCTGCTGCTGCTGCTGGCTGATGCTGATGCTGATGCTGATGCTGAGCTGGAGGAGGAGGAGGAGGAGGAGGAGGAGGAGGAGGAGGAGGAGGACCACCAGGAAAGATGGGGAGGTAGGGCATAGAGGGCGGGGGCGAGGGGGAGGGGGAGGGGGGAAGCGGAACGGGGGAGGGGGAGGCGGGGGACGCGTGTAGGGCGGGATGTTCGGGGGAGGGAGAAGGGACGGAACGAACAGGAACGGAGGGATACCAGTGAGACGGATGGAGGAGTGAAGGAGGGGGGAGATATGCAAGTGAGGAGGGAGGGGAGGGGGAGGGAGGAAGGAGGGGAGGAGGAGGAGGAGGAAAGCGAGGAAAGAGGGAGCGGGAGGGGGAAAGGGAGATGGATGAGTGGGATTGTGTTCATGGCCGTCGTGTGAAACGCGGCATTCGTCGGCTGCTTGGTTGTTTAGATCTTCAGCATGAGCGCTGTCTGCCTCTTCCGTCGCCTGGATGTTCGGCTGAAGAGGGCAGGGGCAGGTGGGCCGGAAGATCCCACGCACTTCGGCTCCTCGCAGCCTTTGGAGCTGGGCGGGGGTGCCGATGACCGTGCAAAGGGGGGAGCGCCGATGCAGTTCATGCAAGCCCAGACATGTTCGCGTAGGAAAGCAACTCAGGACGCAGGTTTTTCTCGTAGTTGTCGGACTCTGGAGGCTCTCACCAGGCCCAGTGGCCAGCAAACAAGGGCTCGGGATGAGAAACCGGTCCTGGGGAAGGAGAAATCGGGGCGTCGAGGGGACCCGTGCGCGGCATACCCGGACGCCGCCGTTCTGTGAGGCGGAGGAGTGGGGGGAAGAGGTGGATGGAGAGAGGGCGGGGGGGGAGAGGAGGTAGGGCGAGCACAGCGGTTCGGGGCGAGAGGGATTGGGGGGTGGTCCTGCGGGGGCCAGGGCAGGGTTTCATCGCTCCGGAGTGTTCGGGAAGAGGCCAGCCCAGACGGCTACCCTGGCGGGGCTGTCTGCGCGCAGGCCCGGCGCCCTCTCGGGGGGCAGTGTCCTGCGGGGAAGGCGGCGCGCCAGTCCTGCACGAGGTGGTGGGGCAACAGTGCGCCGCCCTCGCCTCCGCCACGTTCGGGGTTGCTCCTGAGGTGAGCTGCTTGTTGTGCTCGTGTCAGGCTGTGGCCCGTGTCAGTCGGGGGTGGACAGAACCCCCAACAGTGACACGTCGATTAGTGAATTGTCCGTTTTCGGTTCTCGAGACGGCGCCGTGGCCGCTATTTTCCAGGCTTGCGCCCGCCAGGTTTGGGCCTCAGGTCGTTTTCACTAAACCACGTTTTACTGAAGGGGGGTCTGTCCATCCCCGAGTCAGGCTGTGCGCCAACAGGACGACGACGGTGCGGAGGAGGAGGGGAGGGGGAGCATCGACGTCCTGTGGGCTCCCCCGTGCCTGGGCGCCCGGGCAGCTGCCCGGACGCCCGGCGATGTTGTTGTCGTGCGGTTGGGTGGGTCCGGCGCTGCGGGCTGGCCCTCTCGGGTGAAGGCCTCGCGCTACCAAGCGGATCGCGCGGCCAGCTGCGCCACGAGCTGTGGACTCTTGGCTCAAGTCGGGCCTGTCCCTCCACAGGGGGGATCCTCAAAGATAGTCAAAAAGTAGTCCGGGGACGGTTTTGTTCATAATGTTTGAGCATCTGGGGGGTATTATTTGAGTTTTGTTTTTATGCTTCGCCCGAAATCCCCCTGTACGGGGACACGCCCGACTTAACGCTTGGCGGACCAGGCCGGTAGCGAAAGGCTGAGCTCTCCACGTTTGCAGTGGTGTCGGTGCCCGCGCAGCGGAGGGAGGAGGGCTGGGCGAGGAAGGCATGGGCGCCGTGCGCGAGAAGCAGAGCGTCAAGGCGGTGTCTGGGTCTTTTCCTCGGCTACACCCTAGAGTTACCTTTCGCCGAAGTGACCTCTGGTGCGGGCATGCTGGGGCCCCCAGATGGCTGAACGCGATGGGATGGATAGCAGCGGCTTGCGCTCGGGTTTGCACCACCCCCGCGCCCCCCGAAAGCCGCGAACCACAGGGAGCTTGTTTTTTTATTGCTCGGACCCGTAACGCCCGTTACGGGGGGGGTTCCCCCCCCCCCGTAACGGTAACGAGCGTACGGGGACGGGGGTGCGGACCCCCCGTCCGTCCAGGCAGGCATGTTGTGACGCTCACATGTGTGCTCAGGTTCGAGGTTCGAGGTTCGAGGTTCGAACCTCGGCGCAAACTCAAAATGGGTCCACGGGGCCCGACTGGGGCTCAGACGCACCAGTTTCCCGAGCCGCGTCCAGCCGCGGCGACGACGAAGGCCCTCGAGGGCCAGGATGCCTCGATCCTCGAGGTTCGAGGTTCGCATCCCTCGGCGCGAACCTTTCAACGGGTTCCGGCCTGGCCCCTCCACCTCCTTTGCCTTGCTTCTGCACTCCCTCCAGTGCTCGTGCCCTCCACCTCCTCTCACCTCCTGGGGGGAGGGGGGAGCGAGGCAGAGGGAGGAGGAGGAGGAGGAGGAGGAGGAGGGGGAGGAGGACGAGGAGGACGAGGAGGGTTGGAACAGGATCGGAGGAGGAGGAGGTGATGGGGGATCGGAGGAGGGGCATGAGGAGGAGGAGGGGGCAGAAGAGGAGGAGGAGGAGGATGGAGGATCGGAGGGGGATCGGAGGAGGAGGGGGATCATCTTCCTCTGGTCCCTCCGAGCGTCCTCCTCCGATCATCCTTCTCCGTTCCTCCTTTCAGGCGCCACGGTTCACACTCCCATGATGTACACAGTCGCAATGGAGTACACAGGCGCTGTGGGCTCAACAGGTCCGAGCGCTTTTTGAACCAGAAAAACTAAGATCCACAAGCAGCTCACATAATGAAAGGGCCACGGTTGGGCCCCGAGCGATCTTCTGGACTTTCGCTCCGCCGGTACCTTACAGGTGTACACAAGCTTTGTGGTGTACGCTGGCATTCTGGTGCAAACACGGGGCGTTGAAACAGCAGCTGTGGTGCACGCGGGCGCCGTGGTGTGCACCAACAGTGAGATGTACAAGGGCGCTGTGGTGCACCCGCCTGTCATGATGTGCTCAGTCGCCGTGGTGCACACACATACCATTTCTGCCGCAGTTGTGGTGTACAAAGGCATCGCGGTGTACAGAGCCTGTGTAGTGTGCACAGGCACGGTCGGCTTCGACGACGACGACGACAGCGGCGACGACGACGACGACGAAGCCTACCGTGCCGACAGTTGTGCTGGTAATAAGTACCAGGGCCCGTGCGAGGGCCCCGCCGCGCGTTACCGTTACCCCCAACTTGGAGCCGGACCCCCCCCCCCGTAACGGGCGTTACCCCCCCAATAAAAGAACAAGCTCAGGTCACTCTAGCCTGGGGTCACTCTTGCGTGTAGCCCGTACGCCTTAGGCGATGCTGAAGAAAACTTAAGTTTGCGGCCAGAGTCTCGATTATTCTTAACGTTTCAATGTAAATCCCAAGATTTTGATAGAAGTTCTGGGTTTTATTCAATTTCTGAGACTATGAATTTCTTAACCCATGATTTCTTAAGCATTTCGCAGGGTGTACGCTTAGGGCATGCAGGTGCCAGTATCGAAGACGCCCACGGCGAGGCCTCGCCGCCCCCTTGCCCTTCTGGGAACGCTCGTGTGGTGACATGCCTGACGAAAGCGCGGCCACTGGTAGCGAACTGCGCTCCCGCAGCCGTTAGAGGGCGCCACTGGGGGAACACTGGGGGAGGAGGAGGAGGAGGAGGAGGAGGAGGAGGAGGAGGAGGAGGAGGAGGAGGAGGAGGAGGAGGAGGAGGAGGAGGAGGAGGGGGAGGAGGGGGGAGGAGGGGGAGGGGGAGGAAGAGGAGGAGGAGGAAGAGGGGGAGGAGGAGGAGGAGGAAGAGGAGGAGGGGCTCTCTTGTGGCTCTTCCGGGCCATGTGGGCCCACTTCGGGGCCTCTGAGGGGCCCTCCTGCGCCACCGTGTGGCTCCCTTGAGCCTTCCTTCGGGGCTCTCGTGTCGTCTGGCGCGATCTGGGACTGTCCTGGAGGCCTAAATGCAGTGTGTGCAGTTGCCTCTCGGGGCTCTTTCGGGTCGTTTTGGGGCTCTCTGGGGCCGTCTTTGCGCCGTCTTGGGCCGTCTTGGGAGAGTGTCTTGGGGCGGTCTTGGGGCTGTCTTGGACACCCTCTTGTGCGGCCACCTTGTGGAGGCACGAAAAAGCGAGAACGCGACAACGGTGGAAACATGCACAGAAAACAAAAGCAATGATTTTCACCTCGCAGAGGGCGCCTGGAGCTCCTCGTGGAGCGACTGAGCGTATCGGGGGCTTCTTCGGCCGTCCTCAGGCCGCCTTGAAGGCCATTTCGGGCCATCCGGAGGCGGATTATGTTCATTTTGGGGACGATTTCTCGTGTTTCTGGGTGGCCAGCGACCGGCGGGCGGCGGGTTGTGCAGGAGGCGGTGGGACGACACCTTTCAAGCAAGCTCACGGGGGGGGCGGATCGAAGACGCCCTACGGCGAATCACCGCCGCCCCCTGCCTTTTCGGAAGCCTATGCTGCCAAACGTTGGGTCAACACCTGGCCAAGCGATCCAGCCGTTGTGCAAACCCTGAAGAGAACACATAGAGGGACAGGAGAAGGAGAGGGAGGAGAAGGAGTGAGAGGAGGAGGAGCAGGAGGGGGCCTCTCGGAGCCATCCTGGGGCCTTCCTGGGGTCTTCCTGGGGGTCTCCTCGGGGCCTCTTGAGGAGCCTCCTGGGCTCCTCCAGAGCCTCTTGCCGGCCTCTTGGCGGCATCTTGGGTTCTTGGAGCCATCCTGGGGCGCTGCAGGGCCGCCTTGCAGGTGTACTGGGCCGCCCTGGGAGCCGTTCAGGACTGCGGCAACTTGGAAGGCAGCACGCGCGCCAGAGCTCATTTCGACTCCTCCGATTCGATCCGATTCGATTTCAATGGCTTCCGATGCCGATCCGCTTCGGCTTCGGATTCCGATTGGGGCTCCGATTTCTCAATGGAGGCCTGCTGGCCCGCCGATTCCCGCAGATTCGACCTCTCCCGACTCGGCTGCCGATTTCCGCTGATCCGGCGCGTTTCGACCGCCGATCCGATTCATCGATTCGATTCTGGGCTCACCGGCACGCGCCGGGACGATGATCCAAATCCCTCCGCTGGCCAGCGCCGACCAGACATCCGCCCACTGATCGCACGGCCCCCAAACGGCAGCCGACCGATCGCACATGGCTAAACAAGGCATACAGTCTGGGCCCTGAAGAAGGAACCCTTTTCGTTGGGGAGGGGCTCCGCGTTTCTTAAGTGTTTCACAGCTTGCCTCAGGCTTTCCTTATGTTTTCGACAGGAAATCGAAGGTTAACTTATGGAAAAAAAGGAGCCTCATTCCTTATTGGAGAGGCCTGACGGCCGGTGCCGCCGACCCTGATCGAAAGGGCTAGGAGTGGGGGGAGGAAGCGGAGGATGAGGAGGAGGAGGAGGAGGAGGAGGAGAAGGAGGAGGAGCAGGAGGAGGAGGAGGATGAGGAGGAGGAGGAGGAGGATAAGGAGGAGGAAGTGCATCCTTTGTGTGCCCGCTCAAAGAAAGTGCGCCCCGGGAGTGTGATATTCTGACTTGGGACGTGCTCCCGGAAGAGGAAGAAGTGCATCTCGGGCGTGCCCGCTCGAGGAAAATGCGCCCTAGGGGGGTGGTATTTTGACTCGGGGCCCGCTCCCGGGACGCCTCTGCGGGAGGAGGAGGAGGAGGAGGAGGAGGAGGAGGAGGAGGAGGAGGAGGAGGAGGAGAGGAGCAGGAGGAGGAGGAGGAGGAGGAAAAGGAGGAGGAGGAGGACCAGGAGGAGGAGGAAGTGCATCCCGTGCGTGCCCGCTCGAGGAAAGTGCGCCCCGGCGGGCGTCGTATCCCCCCCTTGCTTCAGGCTTTCCTTATGTCTTCGACAGGAAATCGAAGGTTAACTTATGGAAAAAAGGAGCCTCGTTCCTTATTTAGGGTTCCTTAGGTCAACGCCCCGACTGCACGCCGCCATCACACGGTCTGCGCTCGAACGCGTCTGCGCTGACACCGCACAATCACGTGCACAAGAGCACCGACGGTCCACCCAACGAAACGATGGCATCAACAGAAACAACAACGGTTCTCCTGGTGCTACCAACCTCTCCCCCCCACACACACACACACACAAACACACACACACACACACACACGCACACACACACACACAAAAACACACACACACGCACACACACACACACACATTCATACACAGACACACACAGACATCCACACACACACGCACTGGTTGTACGTGTCCCACGGTAATCCCGCGTTTTCCCACGTGCCGTAGCCAGCATAGCGCGGTGGCTGCAGTCTCGCCCACATGATCTGAGCTGGACCCACGCTCATCCACAACGCTTGTTGTCTGACTTATTCTTCCTTCTTTCCCATCCTCCTTTCCCCGCTCCCCCCTCCCTACTCAGCTTCCCTCCCCCCCCCCCAAACCCGGCGTGATGCCTTTTGGGGGCGCCTTCCGGCCGACGTCGGGGCACGTGTGCCTTCAGGACGACGACATCAGGAGAGGAAGGAACCCACAGACGCAATTCATCGTCGACTCCCAGGAAAATACCGGAAAACATGGGAAATGGGGGGGAAGACAAAAACCCAGCAAATATGGGAAGATATGGGGAATCCTGGTCTTTGTGTATATTGATTTGTGTGCCTTCAGGACGACGACAGACGCGAGGATCCCGGGAGGCCTCTGAGGAGGAGGAGGAGGAGGAGGAGGAGGAGGAGGGGGAGGCCTCAGGACGACGACAGACGCGAGGAGAGGGAGGGAGGAGGAGGAGGAGGAGGAGGAGGAGGAGGAGGAGGAGGAGGAGGAGGAGGAGGAGGACGAGGGACGAGGAGGAGGAGGAGGAGGAGGAGGAGGAGGAGGAGGCAGGAGGAGGAGGAGGAGGAGGAGGAGGAGGAGGAGGAGGAGGAGGAGGAGGAGGAGGGGAGGAGGAGGAGGAGATGGAGGAGGAGGAGGAGGAGGAGGAGGAGCGGTAGGAGGAAGGAGGAGGAGGAGGAGGAGGGGGAGGAGAAGAGGAGGAGGAGGAGGAGGAGGAGGAGGGGAGGAAGGGAGGAGAAGGAGGAGGAGGAGGAGGGGGGGAGGAGGAGGAGGAGGAGGAGGGGAGGAGGAAAGGGGAGGAGGTGGGGAGGAAGGAGGAAGGAGGAGGGAGGAAGGGAGGAAGGGAGGAAGGAGGAAGGGGAGGAGGGAGGAAGGGGGAAGGAGGAAGGGAGGAAAGGAGGAAGGGAAGAAGGGTGGAAGGGAGGAGGAGGAGGGAGGAGGAGGAGGAGGAAGGAGGAGGAGGAGGAGGAGGAGGAGGAGGGAGGAGGAGGAAGGGGGGAGGGAGGAGGAGGAGGAGGAGGAGGAGGAGGAGGAGGAGGAGGAAGAGGAAGGGAGGAGGAGGGGAGGAGGAGAGGAGGAGGAGGAGGAGGAGGAGGAGGAGGAGGAGGAGGAGGGAGGAGGAGGAGGAGGAGGAGGAGGAGGAGCGAGAGGGGGCGGGGCCGCCCATTGGGCAGGAGCTGCGCCCACGAGCCGCTCCATAGCCCTCGATGCCGCTCCCGGTGGCCCGGGGGCCGCTCTGCCGGCCCGCCTGCTGCACGGCCTCTGCCCTCTGCCTCGGCCAGCCTCTGTCCCCCGTGCCCAGACATCGGGCGTCTCGAAAAAATCGAGACAAAGGTTTTTCATCGAGAAAAATGAAAAAATAATAAAAAAAAAAAAAACAAAAAAAAAACTCGAAAAATCGGGACAAAGGTTTTTCATCGTTTTCGGCCTCTGGAGGCCTTCGCCGGGCCTCGGGACCGTCAACAAAACGGCTCGGGATGAAACACCGGCCCCGGGGAAGTGGTCGGGAGGTTTGGGGGCCCGTGTCTCGAGAACATCGGGGCGTCGGACGTCTGGGTACTGGCCTCTCGGGCCGGGCGAAAGGGGGGGATTGGGAAAGGGGGGGTTACGAAAGTTGCTGCCTGCAGCTGGTTTCGGCCCCACCGAGGGGCCCATGCCTCGATACATAGCCGCCTCCGGCGCCGGGAGGCGCCGGGAAAATCAGCTGCGTGAGCTGGTTCTCCCCCCCCCCCTTTGCTATCCCCCCTTTCGCCCGACCCGAGTATGGGCCTCCCTCCCGCTCTCCCGCTGCCCCTGCAGGGTGCCCAGCTGCGCCGCGAACGGTACTCGCAAGGCGATCGTTGTATTGCAGTCGGGCCTGATGAGCAGGTCGACCCTGCCAGATCAAGGGTGCCCTCGTGTCCTGTGCCTCGCAACCCCTGCCTTCTCGCATTCCTGTGGCACTGTGGCCCTCGAAAGGGTCTCGTGTCCTCTCGCGTGTCCTTTCCAATCAAGTCCGACTGTATTCATTGCTTTGCCGATCGGCGTTGGCCCTCGCGGCGCCCCCTCCCCCCTCCCCCATGGAGTCGATCCTGGCTGTTTGGGGCGCCTGTTTCGAGCTGGTGGAGCCTCCCCCACAAGACGCACTGTTTGCAAACGGTCGCGTTAAGCAGAGGTCCGAAGAGGAGGAGGAGGAGCAGGAGCAGGAGCAGGTTGAGGAGGAGGAGGAGGAGATGTGGGAGGAGGAGAAGGAGGAGGAGGAGGAGGAGGAGGAGGAGGAGGATGCAGGAGGAGGAGGAGGACCCTTCCCCCCAATGTCGAAACGCCGCACAAGAGAACGCCCACGAGGCAACGGCAGGTGCAGCGTCGGGTCGTCCAGAGGAGGACCGCTCCGACGGGTGAGCCTCGTGCCGTCCTCCGTCTCGGACTCGTGTGGTGGGTCGCCTTCACGACGGGCCATGCTCGCGCGGCCGTCCGCGCCTGCGCGAGAAGAGGGGGTGCCACGCCCGACCCGTCGCTTGCACGTGTCGTTCATCTTCGGTTTACGTCGGGCCTGTCCCGCTATAGGGGGAATACTCAAGAAAGAATAGTCTGGGGTCTATTGCTTGATTTTTGTCTGACCATTTTGGAGTATTTGTTTGAATCTTTGTTTATTTCGCTCGTCGAAAATCCCCCTGCAGGGGGACACGCCCGACTTACTCTTCGGTCAACTGCGCCGCCCTGCGTGCGCACCCCACGCCGTGCGGAGGTGCCTTGGCGGGGGGCCGGGCTGGGGCGGCGAGGAGGGGTGAGACCATGTCTCGACTAGACGTGAGAGTGACCTTTCGCAGGAGTGACCTTTGGTGCGGGCACAGCCCCCAAAAAATAGTCAGGGGACTATTTGAGAGTCTTGGGGGGGTATTTTTAGAGTATCCCTGAGTTTTCGCCCAAAATCCTTGAGCATTTTGGGGGGTATTTTTGGAGTAGCCTTGAGCTTTCGCCCAAAATCCCCCCTGCAGGGGGACAGGCCCGACCTCAGTCGACTAGACGTAAGAGTGACCTTTCGCCAGAGTGACCTTTGGTGCGGGCACAGGTGGGTCCCCAGATGGCTGAAAACGAAACGGTAGCAGCTGCTTGCGCGCCCAGGGTTGGTCCCCCCGCGGCCCCCAAAAAGCCGCGCACCAAAGGTCACTCTTACCCAGGGTCACTCTTGCGTACAGCCGAATGTTCCCCGCCGTGTCCCTAGTGCCTCGCATCGTCCACATTTCGAGCAGCCAGACGCCGTCCGAGTTGGAGACAGACGTTGGTACGCGTTGGCATCGATGCGGTGTGTACGGCAGCTTGCAATGCCAACGCAAAGGGCGATGCTCCTTCTTGTCATGCTCGATTTCCCTTCTGGGGCGCTACGAACCACGTGCCGCCGAATGCTCTATTGTAACATCTGGTGGTGGGTTGGATGCAATCCAGTTTGGGAGCAAGCCGATCGTTGTGGGAATCCTCGCCCTCCTTTGCTGTACTGTTCCAGCTTGTTGTTGAAATTGCTGCAAGAACGAGACATCTGCACGGTGGGTGGTGGCCTCCTCCCTATTCTCTCTCCTCCCCTCTCCTTAAGCTCCACTTCTGATTGATAGTAGCATGCCGCTTTGAGGGAGGTCGTCGTGCTGGGCTTCTTTCGAGATCCCTGCTCGAGACGGCCGAAGTCGAGGCGGGCGAAGAGAGAGAGAGAGAGAGAGAGAGAGAGCGAGGGCGAGAAAGAAGGAGAGAGAGAGAGAGAGAGACATAGACAAACAACGATAGTCAGAAGGAGAAAGAGAACGATTCGGGCAGAGAGAGAGCGAGAAAGAGAGAGAGAGAGAGAGGGAGAGGCCAAGAGAGAGAGAGAGAGAGAGAGTATGGGAGCGGAGGAGTAGGAAGAAAGTTAGTAGTAGTAGTAGTAGTAGTAGTAGTAGTAGTAGTAGTAGTAGTAGTAGTAGTAGTCGTAGTAGTAGTAGTAGCAGTAGTAGTAGTAGCAGTAGTAGCAGTAGTAGTAGTAGTAGTCGTCGTAGTCGTCGTCGTCGTCGTCGTCGTAGTCGTAGTCGTAGTCGTAGTCGTAGTAGTAGTAGTAGTAGTAGTAGTAG